GTCACCTCAGTTAACAACTGTCTCAACTTGCAACCCTAATGGGCAGGCTCCATTTCAGTCGAAAGGCGAGGACTGACTGTAGCTAACTCGGATTCAGCCTTAAGGTGCCAAAGTATCTGCTTAAAAAAAAAAGGGGGAGAGAAAAAAACATTACATTTCATTTTGATCTGTTTTTCGTTGCACCAGCTGACTCAATTTGCCCTTGAAATTGAATTCGTATTCCCTCTAGGAAGATCACCAAGGAATTATAAACGTCGTAGCATTTCTGCTGCCTTTCATGTCCTGCTTCGGTTTGGTGAGTAACTTATATATTTTCTGTTTTGGGGGATGGGGATTTAAATGACTTAAAAGTGGCTTTTGCCTCAGCTTGCTGAAATGCTTTCATTGATCACAAAGGAGCCTTTTCTTTTAATCTTTCAAAAGGCAAATGGACTGTTTTTTAATTGAAGGAAGAGGAGAAAGACGGTTCGTTTCTTATCCAAGAAGCTTCATCAGGTTCAGATACTGAAAAAGCCATGAACAACAACCACAAAACGTGGGTATTGCACAGTCTAAAATTCAAGCTCTATGATGTTATAATCAAATAAATGGTTGGACCTGAGCATTGTTATTGTAAAGGACTATGCCACTGCTTCAGACCTTTTATTCCCTTTCTAGCCCTTACTGTAATTAGCTTCTCTGGGATTTTTATCAAATGTAAATCTTGTTTGTTAATGCTAGTATTTCAGAAAGACTATTGGACTTGAATTCCACCCAAAAAGTGTTTTTATTTTCCAATCTGCTTGTGTATATTAATTTTTATTTAAATTAAACCATTTGGTAACTATTATAAGAATTCATCTTTCAGTAAAATGTCAGTTTAATGAAACATCAGTTACAAGCAAAAATATCATAAGGCATTTATTAAACATAAAACTGTAATATTATCCTACAAAATACAGTGAGTTGGATTCAGGTTTAGTTATTCTTAGCATAAACCAATTGGAAAGAGAGTGATGGGTGGAATTAGCTGGACAAGTAAGCCAATTATTTTAATGATCCTACGCTAGGCACAATTTAGGATGCATTCTCAAAGATATACATGGGAATTAAATTTATATTCAAACTAGTGCTATTCTAATACCACTTATACTATATAGCCTTGATTGAAGAACTAAATTAATATATTTGAAATAATGGTTATACATAATTTTTGCCTTGAACATGTATGGCATTTGTTTGTTTGTTTATTTATTAAATTATTACATTGGAGTAGGCAAACACTTAACCATCTAAATGTTCTATGCTGGTACAATTATGAAACATGTTTATCACGGTTATGAAAACTAATGGCAAAAAAACATTAGCTTAGGTCAAATATGCACATTATGTCAAGATTCATATTGGGAAGAAAACAATTGGTGTTACCTGATGGCTTCAGTCATTCACAGACACTCAGACTCTCCCGAGGCAGTGGTGAAATGCTACTGGTTCGCACCGGTTCGGGTGAACCAGTAGTGATAAAAACTACTGGTTCGGGTGGACTGGTAGTAAAAAAAAGCTACCGGTTCCTGTGAACCGGTATTTCTGATGATCAGATATGCTGCATGATTTAAAATCACTAGAAAGCAGGAAATCCTACTTTCTAGTGAATCTAAATTGCACGGCAAAGCTGTTCCGCCCACTCACTGTTCTACTTAACTTCCCAAGCCTCCTTTTTCCATGCAAAGCACGCGTTTGGTATGTACTGCGCATGCATGCATGCAGTGTGTGTTTGGTGTGCACTGCGCATGTGCACACAGCGTGCATTTGGTGTGCACCACGCATGCACACACACGCAGCATGAGTTTGGTATGCACTGCACATGTGCACGCGCAGTGCACGCTTGGCGCGCACCGCACATGCAAGGCCAGCAAACCGGTGGCAAACCAGTTCAGATTTCATCACTGCCCCAAGGTACATCCAGAGAAAGAGGATATTTCTTTTGTCACAGAGACACAGAGAAATGTACCAACCTTTCCTCTCTTCTGGGAATAGAAAAATTGAGGGGACTATAACTCAAACAATTAAGAAGACAGATGGATTGCTTGGATGCAGTGTCATACAAATTTCAGGGGAGATTCAAGAGAGGAGAGTTTCCTTGTAATCAGGATATAGCACTGGCGATGCCAATTTAGATTGAAAGAAAAGATTCAGAGAACTAGAGGCAAAAGTCTACAGAACTCAGTCCAGAGTTCTAGTGACTTACAAGAGGCAGAGCTAGAAGTAGAGAAACAGAGAGTAACAGAATCATAGAAACAAGGATTGCTCATGTTAGCCAAGGGATTAAACACTAGAGAATTGTACTACTAGAGTGGTTTGTTAAAGTAAGAATCCAATTGCACAATAAGAATACCATGAATGAAGCTCTGATGTTGGAAAGTATTTTTCTAACAGAAAACAAGCATTGTTCCTAATTAGCTCCAGCTATGAGCACACTCGGTTAGGGGCGTAACCATTCTTGTTTCCTGAGTAGCAGTGTAACTGTCTTTGCTCTGACTTTAAAACTGATGTAATTTTTAAAGTAAAAAATGGCCTACTAGGATCTGGCCTCTCATTATCTTAGAATGTCCAACTTGTTCTTATTCCTTGTCTTCCCCGTCTGCTCCAGATGATGGGGAGTTTGCAGCTCATCAGATCAGGCTCTGCAACCTTTAATTAAAGGAATGAAAATAGGCCCTAACCATCATATTATGTGGGGAGTGCTTTGTGGTTATAATGTGATCACAGCAGAAGGAGATACCTTGCCTTAGTTTTATATGTTCAAGCAATATATTCTTTTCTGTCAACTTGTCCATATGCATTTTTGTTTGTTTGGTTTTTTTTTTATATATATCATGGACTTTTTAATATTTATGACTGCATAATAAATCATCAAGCATCTTTCATTGCAAGAGGTAAATACCCAACATAAAACAAATCCTATATAAATTATTGAGTGAATTGTGAATTTAAAGTTTTTTTATATATATATATTAATACAAACATCTAATGCACAAAATACAAACTTTGGTGAATTCTTTAGAAGCCTTTCAATTAATTTTGACCCACAAATGGAAATTTGTTTTCAAAATAGCATAAATTTAGGTTATTTTAAGATTATTTGGATTTTTATGTGACAAGATGAAAGAAAGCAATGTTTGTTTTCCTAATATCCTATAAACATTCTACACTACTTTTACTTTCATTTATTGTGTTCTCTTCTTCATTCCCAAAAATTGTTCTGAAAAATTGTTATATATTCTCAAGTAAAATTAGAAAAAAAATAATATTCATTATATTATATTCATTATATTCATTCATTTATTCATAATAAAACAGGCCTGGTAGCTCAGCAGACTAAAAGCATTGTGATTAACACCAGCTGTCTGCAATTACTATAAGTTCGAATCTCACCAGGCTCAAGGTTGACTCAGCCTTCCATCCTTTCTAAGGTAGGTTAAATGAGGACCCAGTTTGTGGGGGCAATAAGCTGACTTTGTATAAATATACAAAAGTATGAAGGCTATTGCTTAATGCATTGTAAGCCGCCCTGAGTCTCCGGAGAAGGGCGGCATATAAATCTAAATAAATAAATAAATAAATAAATAAATAAATAATATAAATAAATAAATAAATAAATAAATAAATAAATAAAATTTGTTACATTAGAAATGAACAAAGTTCTTTGTGCTGTGGTTCAGACTCTCTCAGCTCATGAAAGTTGCCAGGGAGGTTACTGCAATAATATTTATGGTGTGGGGTCAACTTCTTTTAGAAATGGACTGGTACCTCCTGCTCTGAAATAAATGATAGAATGCTCCTCCTCAAAAGGCTGTCTCTGGATCCAGCAACTACAGTATCTCCTGTCTCCAATATTCCCCTTGTGGTGAAGATTGTTTAAAAAGTGGTCTTCATTTGATGAGAACTCTGGAGGAAGGAGATTATCTAGACCAAGGTGTCAAACTCTGATCACCATGGCGTTGTCACGTGACGTATCGTGACTTTTTCCCCCTTTGCTAAACCAGGCATGGCCAACACATGGGCTGCAAGTTTGACAGCCCTGATCTAGACTCATTTCAATTGGGTTTCAGGTTGATATTTAGTATGGAGACTTGTGGTGGAGCTGCAATGGAAGGGGTTTTTTTCTCCCAGGACTCACAGGTAGTAGCTGGAGTCAGGGAGGCCTTTGAAAGTTTCATTTGTATGTATGTGCCCTTTCCCAGATTGAAAAGATCTTCAGACTGTTATTCATGCATTAATGATCACAGAGCTCTACTATTGCAATAACCTTTATAGAAAGACACTCCACTTCAATTGATCCCTAATGTAGTGGTGTGAGCACCATTGGGCATGCCTTAATATGTGACACATAAACTGCAAGCTGCACTGATTGTCAGTATTCTTTCTGATTTATTGAAGATGTGGTTATGACTTGTAAGAGTCACTTTGGATAATCAGGTGGGCATATATATTAAATAATGAAATCCACACATCAGAAGGACTGCATATCTCTGTGGAATGATCCCAGGGGGATTAGTCTGATAGAGTTGGTGCATTCCAGATCCCTTCACTTAAACAATATCATCTATCAGCTCCAAGGAGCCATGCTTTCTTTGTCACAGTGCCAACCCTTATGGCATTGCAGAAAACATTAAAGACCTGCTGTTCTTTTAAGTCTTGTTTTAGGATAGTTGGAGCTCCTGTCAGACTGAATATCTTGATGTGCTCATTCAGACTCACAATCATGTCTTTTTTTTAAAAAAAAAATTTTTTTAAAATAATTATTGCATTGCATTTTCTATTGTTTGACTTTATTACATGCTGCTAAAATGAATTAATTTACAAATAAATAAATTGTAGCTATAGAAGCTAGTTAATTTCTTACAATGGTGATCTAATTTGAAAAAGATAAAAGAAAGTACTTTTGCCAAAGCTGCTGATGGAAATAGAGTACAGTTGTCACAATGTAATGTGAGACAAGTCTATTCACAGAAGTTGACACATTGGCAAAACATTATTGGGCTTATTCCAAGTGTCTGTTTTAATTAGCCCTTAGTATTAACTTTCTTCAAGATTCTGTGAAATAAAAATGCATAGTTTCTATAAACATAGAGACTTGTCACCTCCATTATTTAAAGATTAGGTATTTTACTGAATCCATATACAGTAAACTATTTAAAGTACTATTTTCTGAAAATATTTTTATTAAATTAAAATTTTAGTAAAAAGGTAGAATCAAAAAACTAACACACAATTTTCAGAAATTCTGTAAGTTGATTGAAAATAATGTTCCTCTCTTTAATTTATTGAACCAGAAACAGAAGATTTTTGCAAACAGGAAATTTCAATAAAATTCTTTTCTCAAAAAATGATTTCTGTTCCTTATTATAAGTTTATATCTTTTTTATTGAAGACAATGACAGTTTTCTTAATGCTATTTTTTTTTGTTCATTTATAGTGTTGAATTCAGGAGACCATGTCAAAAATTACTCCATGGAGACTAGGAAATTGGATTTTGTTTTAAAGAAACGAAACTATCTTGCTCCATCATTAAGGTAATAACATTTTGACTATATAATTTCTTAAAGTAATTGAACAGATGATATTTCAGCAGTAATTTATATCTCCTTTATGGCAGAATGTGATTATCATTATTACTATATAAAATAGCTAATTGTAATACAACTCATCTGTTCAATGCCTATGGAGATTCTCAGTCATCCAGGTCATGGTTGTCCCAAAGATGCTTTTTTTTTTCAAAAGGCAACTGGACTTTGTTTTTTCTTGAAGATGTTTCACTTCTCATCCAGAAGCTGCTTCTTGGATGAGAAGTGAAACGTCTTTAAGAAAAAAACAAAGTCCAGTTGCTTTTTTGGGGAAAAAAAGCACCTTTGGGACAACTCATCAGTTCCTAAATTAAAGTTGTTGACTTTGACCTATAATGATGTTTGAGGGCCGTACCTTCATTTTTCAGATGTTGGGAATTATCTGTTTATGGAAGTAAAGCCAGATTTCAATACACTTCTCAATTTCTAGGAATTCTAGAATACCTGCAGTGAGATAGAGGAAAGAAAAAGAGGTGGAAGTGGGGGTAATTATAACTCAATAGCAGAGTACATTCTAAAAGTCATGTGTTCAATTTGTGGGATCTATACAAATAAAAGGATTGGACTGTAAGTGTCCTGATGCTATAGATATAACCTGACAAGTCTGCTAATCCAAAATTCTAGTGTAGATAAATAGTATGGTTTATACATTTAGTCTTGATTTCATCATTCATTTGTTCATTCATTCATTCATTCAGCATTTGTACATTTATTTGTTGTATCACATAAAATTAAACTATTAAATTCATTAGATATTTAATTTCTTATCTAAATTTAATTTAATTTGTATCAATAGCCTTTAGAAATTACACTTGGGCAATAGAATGAACAATGCCAAACTATTACATATTTCTGCAGACATCCAGATTTCTGCAGACATCCAGATACCTTTAAGAAATAATCCCAAATTATAAAAAGGTAAATGAGTCCTTGCAGGTTTTACCCCACTAATCAGAGCCGACTGTTCAGTACTGTCCAAATACATTTCAGCAGTCATGTGGCCTGTGTGACATCACACCACAGCACAAAGCACACGGTGAAACATAGAATGCTGTTATCTTCTCATCAAAGCGTTACCTGTTCATTTACTTGCATTTACAGGCTTTTGAACTAGGTTGGCTGGAGTTGAAGCAAGTGATGGGAGCTCATTCTATCTTTCAGTGATAGGGCTTGAACTGCTGGAGTATAAACATTCTTCGGCTTCTTTTAAGCAACTGAGCCAGCATACTTTCTTATTCCAAACTATAATATTCTTAAATAACATTACTTTCTTAATATTATACATGTGAAATGTATGTTGAGGAAAAATACTTGTTAAAATAGAAAAGGCAAACCAGACCTTTGTTGCAGTCTCAAACTTATTCTAAAAGTCACAGCTTTGTTACTGCAATGAGAAAATGCTAAATGAAGTAAGCACTTTACTGAAAGACTTACTTTTCAAAGTAGGTTTTAATATTTAATATGCTTAATATTGCAAGTTCTGAAGTAGGGTTCTTTTTTTAAAAAAAAATCTGAATAGATAGCAACAGAAAACATTAAAATGGTAGAAAACCATTCCATTAACTCTCTTTCAGTTTCTCTGGATTGGATTTCAAAGGTTTCATTTTCAGCAGTCTTGCTTGAATTAAACAGGCCACTCATGATGCATCTGGAATGGTATCTAGCCAAATATCATAGAAAAATTGCATTTCAAATGTCTCCTGAAAGATATTAAAAATCCCTTTGAAGACTGTTCTTCACAACTGAGACCTTTCTCCTTCCATGAACAAAAATTTATTCTACATCCAGTTCTTTTTCAGCTGCATATAATGAGGTGAAAAGGAAAGATAAATAATCCTGATTTCCTTTCCTCACAAAAATAAAGTACCATGTTCTCTTATATCCATAGATCACTGTCTCATTTAAAGTTAGGTCCTAACAGAGTTAACTCTGGTGATATTCAAAATCATGAACTGTTTATTTTGCATAGACAACCTTCCCAAGCCTAGTGTATTCTAGATGTTATTCACTCATTTAATCTTTAATCACTATTACTATTCTGACAATACTTTATAGGAACTGTATTCTAACAGTTATAGAGGTCCCCAGACTTGAAAAAGGATATAAAAAAATTCCTACAGAAAAATTATATTCAATATTGGAAACTTCCTATTATTCTTACCTTTACTAAAGCATAACTCTTGATCATCGGTTAAGAGGAATATATGGAGTTGTTTCTTCATATCAACTTCATTATGAGGCAGCCAATTTTCCATTCATTTGCTTCATTGTTCACTGGTTGCTCTTAGACTAATTATTTTGCCATTTCTAGTGGGGTTTGGTGGTTTTTTTTTTTTTTTTTTTTGGCACATTCCAATCTGTTTCTCCAGAATGATAATAACAGGGAGGTGCAGTCATCAATCATTCACTACTTAGAGATGATCAGTCATCAATCAATTACCGATAGGTGTCAAAAAGGTATGTGGTGACTGTTTGTATCTGTATACTTCAAATGGATATAACTTATTGAGAAAATAAGTCCTTTAAGGAAATGAAAGAATGCCTAGTTTACATTTTTTTAACAATACATAAATTTTGTAAAGAAGATATAACTTGAAATCAGTGTCACTAAAAAATGGACGCAGCTATTATAATATTTGCAGTAAGGTTGCCTCACTCACATTAACTTAGTTACCTGTTAGTTTAATTGGGATCTCATTTTCTGTTCCATTTAGGTATCTTGTTTTGGAAATCAATAAAACTCTAATCTTAATTTACTCTACATGAAATGCCATCTCTAATTTTGACCTGAGATTGTAATCTTCTTTCAGTGAAATGAGTCTAGCAGTTAAGGTGCTGGCCTATAAACCAGGAGATTATGATTTTCTAAGCCTTCATTAGGTAGGAAAGCCAGCTGGGTGTCATTGAGCCTACCAACTTTTCCCATTCACAAGTCATGTACAAGTGACACGTTATGGAATGCTATTAAACCAAATAATATTACCCCATACCGATTATGAGATGATTAATGGATATGGTGATACAGCAATTTAGATCTGATTCCAAAAAAAATGTATTTCGGAGTGTGAATATTGTACCTGTGTAGCATCCTTTAGAGTAATTATGTATTTTTCTGGCTTCCTGTTATCTTCTGTTTTAAATCCATAGTAAGGGACTCAACTGCTTTAAAAAGTTCTCCCTGTACTTCCCTTTTTTGTCGGGGAGTGAATTGAACCTGAAGATCTATTGGAGACCTATTGCTGACTTTCCATTATTGATAGCAACAGGAAACCCAAAATCTTCAAAAGATCTATGGACAGTCGCAAGAGAAGAAATAGGTGAAGGAGTCATGGGATATATTATTTTCAACATGATATTCTGTGGGGTTCTTAGAACTGAAATATGATCCAGGGACATTTGGATAAACTAATAAACTACCCATTCCTGAACTTACTAAACTTCTTCAAGAGTTTTATTAAAAGTATGCAAACATGTATATGATGAAATCCTATTATTTGTTTGTCCACAGCATTCTGTAGCCAAGTCAGAGTACTCCCTCCCATTTTTATCTGTAACATCTCTAAGATAAGCTTACAAACAGTGACTTGTCCAAAGTCACACAGCAAACTTCAAGTGCCAGTCCAATGCCTTTAATCTCTAAACTGTACTGGCTCTCATTACTATTAGACCACTGGATACTATTCCCTGCTCTGTTCAGAGATTTAGAGGAGATTCAAGGCATCACCTACAGCAGATAACTTTCCAATCTCTGCTTGAACACATGCAATTAAAGTTATCTCACCCTTGGGCTTAGCATCTCCAGATAACTCATTCAAGGGGTCGACTTACTGTCCCAGATCTTTCTTGCTCATTATTGTATTGCTGGTAGGTTGGTATTTGTTCTGATTGATGTTCATGATGATTACAAGCTGTTGCTCCCAAAACCTAGAGAGAGGGGGATAATATATTTCAAGTTGGTTCTGAGTATATAAACTCTCTGGTCTTAGTATTCTCCCTGTCCTTAGACATTTGCAAAAGGCAGCTACTGGCAGGGGAAATACTTTAAACAGATTGCCTTGGCTTCACCCTTTCACACTCAGAATCATTGGAGATAGTTTATATGACTTTATGGTAGTAAGCTCCATCTGAATTTGGCTCATTACCTTATTTTCCTTCATAGGAATTTAACATGGCTTTATGAAATAGGAAAATAGCAAATAGCCAGATTTTTTTTAAAGACTAGAGTCTAGTAATATGTTGTATTTTTCTCTCTGAAACTACTTATGTCAGCTGTTAAATTGTGAGACATGGAATCAGATTCCATCATAACAATTTCCTAGTTTATTGCAAATTGTAGCCATGGCAGTTGGTTATAAATAAATGAAATTATGGATTCCTGATGTACAGAGATTGAATAGGGAATGTAATCAAATCATTCTAACTCATCAATACACCAGACTCATTTACAGAAGCTACAATGGCTCCTTGAGCTCATGTAAAAAAAAATTGCATGTTTATTTTGAGGATGAGGGAGAGAGGTAATCATTTGGTGAAAATATAATAATTTAATTAGATAAAAACATCTCAGGATACAAAAAAATTAAAAGAAACAGATTTTAAATATAATCTATATTTTTGTTCTAAGTGTCCAGAGACTGCTGAAAAGCAGAAGGAAACTAGAACAACCTTATTCCTTTTTATCAGAGATTTACAATTTTAAAAATTATAGAAACATACAGGGGTTTCCCATCAAGATTCTAATCTAAGATTTTTCTTTTCTCACTCCTTATTATTGTAGCAGGGGAGGGGAGTTTGTTGGTAGCATTACTATTTTGGGTATAGTCATCATCCAAATGCTCTGAAAATAAAACAAAGAAAAAACCAAACCAACTAACCTCTGGCCACTGAACTGATTCTCCTTCCTTAATAAAAATGTGCAGATTTAATAAATTATTTTTCAAAATCCCAGTTAAAAAACAAGTCTCACTGAAATGAAATTTGAAAATATATCATAAAAGCTAATAAAATGTCTCAAAATGGATATAGTGTTTTTACTTTGTCTAAGCGGAATAACTTTGATATAAATATAAATTTCACAGGTTCATTTTTTTTTCTTGTGTCACAATTAGAAATAATCTCATGTTTAAATGCTATTGGGATAAAACAGGTTTGAAGATATATCTTAACCTTAATGAAATTCTAACAATTCCAGTAGAATAATACCATTTTAATAATATGGCAGTCCTGTAATAATTCAGCAGGGCAAAGTGGAATTAGTTGCATTCTCAACAAACTTCTGGAGGACTGAAGTTCTTATTACCTGTCTCAAAACAGAAAAAAACCCAAGATTCTGGTTTAAAGTTTAAAGAATAGAAAGCAATTCAATAAAATATTTTTTTAAAAAAAATAAGAGGGAAGAACTAATAAATACCAAGGAGAGTTGAGATTGTTTTTCAGAAATAGCTGTTGATTGTGTTTATGTGGAACAAAGAATGCCACTTCAGTACTTTATATTCAAGAAAGCTCTTTGGATTTTCAACATGCTTTTTCACTTTGCAAGCTCCCATTTAGATGGTTAGATTTTGACAAGTGATCAATGCTGCATTGTATTCAACATATGGCAGCAAATTTGAATGGCAGCAAATTTCAAATACTTGAAGCTCAGTTAATAAAGGCAGCCTTATTTAATAATCTGAGGATAAACATTTGGTAATGGGTATTACATATTCTTAAAAAACAACCCTGCATGCTTCGTTCCATTAATTAATTTTTTATTTTAAAACAGCTCTTGGATAATAAAAGTGTTCAGTGCAATCTTACAAAAACTACTTAATTTCTATTGCTCAGAAATATGGAATATTGTTATGAGAAGAACCTATACCAAAAATTAACATCATTTTCTTATTATATATATATATATATATATATATATATATATGTATATATATATATAGTGTATATATATATGTATATATATATATATATGTATATATATATATATGCAAGTTTTGGTGTATTCGGGTCTTTTCCCGTGTAAGATAGAGAGAATCTTGGCAACGTTTCAACAAGGTCCCACTCGTCATCTTCAGGCTGGTGTCTTTGGCTTCGTGCTTGTGCGAGGAAAGCGTGATCAGAGTTGCGGTCTCTCTATAAATACTGGTGAGGAGGTGTGGGGTGCTGGCTTTGTTTCTGTGAGCGGGTTGGTTGCCTGTGTTGTTACATCTTGATGAGTTGATGTTTGCAGATTAATCAGATGTTTCGTAACATCCTGTGTGGGTGAGGTCCTTGATGTGTGCCCATTAGTCTTTTGTGTTTTAACGACCTGGGTAATGGGCTGTGTGTTAACATCCTGAGTTCTAGTGTTGTGATATCCTGAGTTTTTTGATGTAATATCCTGAGACATTACATCAAATGTAATGTCTGTGATGCCACATCCCGGGCTTTGGTTTGGCTCCGAGTTTGAGGTCTTGCCATGTGTTCATGGCGTGTGTCAGTTTGCTTTGTGTGGGGATCGGAGGGGGGTGCAGCAGCTGGTGATGCCGACGTGGTCTGGCTTCTGGATGGTGGTTGTATTTCATCTATGGGATGGGTTTGGGTTTGAATCTGGTGAGCATGATTGGTGGTGGTGTCATGTGTTATCTTGGGTCCCATAACACACCCATAACATGAATAAACAGAATGATACCTCCCACCTACCGGACATCTGGAAACTAGCCCTAGTCAACAGAAGAGTCCCAGCCACGAAGATTAACACCAGACCCAGTTATGGTTTAGTCAAGGAGCCATCAGTAAAACAAACCATGGCTTAGTCTGCTGAGCAGTTTTCTGTAGCGCCCAACTGGTTTTGTGTTTTGTTGTTGTCATCAAAATGCATCCTGTTTTTAGTCAAAGGAGGGACAATTCATATACTAAATGATTCTGATCTGTTCTTCTGGTTTTTCTCTGAAGACATTTCATTTCTCCAAGAAGCATCTTCGGCTCTGAATGGATGGTGGGAATGAAAGGATTTATACTCCTTGCAGACAGCGGGTCATTTGCATTCAGGGATACAAGATCATCTATCTCCAGTCTACAACACAGTCCTTTCAACAGTTCCAAAAAGGCACCATACCCATTTGCACCACTCAGGTGACACTGACCACACAGATAAATCTCCAGGTGGACTCAACAACTCACTAAAAGAATGCAAATGACCAGCTGTCTGCAAGGAGTATAAATCCTTCCATTCCCCGCCATCCAGTCAGAGCTGAAGAAGCTTCTTGGATGAGAAGTGAAATGTCTTCAAAGAAAAAACAAGAAAGTCCAGTTGTTTCTTGAAAAAACACCTTTGGGACTGCAGGTTTATTGTAGTAAAATAAACTTTGCAAAATAATCATTGAATGAACTTTACAAAATACCACTATTGAAATTTGCCTACAAATGATCATAACTGATCTCTCAGTGATTAATCAACTAGGGTTTGGTTGATTAATCCATCAACCCAAACAACCTGTGATGATTGGCAATTAGAATTGCTAATCAAAAGTTGGAATTGATGGGGTTGGAAGGGTCTTGCAGAATTGAAAAATAAATCCTGCGGGTTTTTTTTTAAAAAAAAATCTGTGTGATGACATCACACACTTGCATCAAAGGGATGGAGCTTGAGGTGTGATGTTCTGCTAGTGCTTTTGATTTTGCAATGAAACAGAATTGTGCAGATGTTGCTTTTTCAGAGTGAGGGGGAAAAGGAAGAGAGAGCAATTGGGATAGTGTAGATGGAATCCTCTTCTAATCCTCTAAAGCAGGGATGTAAAACTCAAGCTTCATGGGCCAGATCCAGCTCATGCATGCAGCCCTCCTGAGCTCCGCTGGCAGAGGTTGCAGGAGGATGTCGCATCCGAAAACGGAGCTCGGGAGCCCATTTTTGTTGCAGAGTGCTTGGGCCACCACAGGCACCCCAATTACGAGTGACATCGAGCTGGCCAAGCTCACCTCAGCCCCCTGAGGTCAAACCAGTGGTGGGTTTCAAATTTTTTACTACCAGTTCTGTGGGTGTGGCTTGGTGGCTGTGGCATGGCTTGGTGGGCATGGCAGGGGAAGGATACTGTAAAATCTCCATTCTCACCTCACTCCAAGGGAAGGATTTATTTATTTATTTATTTTATTTATTAAATTTATTAAATTTATATCCCGCCCTTCTCCCCGAAGGGACTCAGGGCGGTGAACAGCCGAGAATTAAAATAACATACAATATAAAAGTTAAAGTAATTAAAAATAAATTAAATTAAACAACCGCCCCAATTTAAAACCCCTATAAAACAGGATACTGTAAAATCCCCATTTCCTCCCAATCAGCTGGGACTTGGGAGGCAGAGAATAGCTGGGGGTGGGACCAGTCAGAATTTTTACTACCGGTTCCCTGAACTACTCAAAATTTCCGCTACTGGTTCTCCAAAACTGGTCAGAACCTGCTGAAACCCACCTCTGGGTCAAACACTACCCTGATGCAGCCCTCAATGAAATCGAGTTTGACACCCCTGCTCCAAGGGAAACTCAGTCTTAGATCTAAGAAAACCTCCATCTATGACAACTCCTCATTTAGAAATAGGTATATTTTTGCCAACAAGACATAGATTGACAGCCTAGATATGCCACAACAGTATAATCACCTGTTTTACACCGTGTTATAAATAATCATTGACTTAATTATTTCTTAAACGTTAACACTCTATATCATTTCCATGCTCCTGCTATTCATAGAACCTCAAATATATGCAAAGAAATTGAGGAGAGGAAACAAAAGCAAAATTAATTCAGGAAAGTTTTGGCAATATCAGCCAAACCCATAAATCCTTGGATTAATGGGATTATGCTTTCATTTTGAAGGAAGAAAGAAAAGTAACAAGAGCACCTCCCTGAGCCAGTGGGTGCATGATAAACCCATTAAATTTTGCCACCCATAATTAGTAGTATAGCCATTGTATCACAATGCATTCATCAAGCTTGTTTACTGAAGAATAGACTGAGAACCAGAGCCTTTAATTAAAGCTGACCAAATTGCTGTCAAGAAGAGACTTGCAAGCAGCAATTTCTAATTAAAATGAATTCCCCTAGTAGTAGTGTTCTCTCTGACTACATCCTTTAAAAGATGGGTTGTAGCTACCAGAAATGCCATACATATGCCTGATAAAATCTGGCAGTGTTACAGTAATTGGAAGATTGAGTAGCAAAAGCCAGAGAAAATGGCCTGCAAAACACAGAGGCAAATAATTTAGTGTTAGGAATTTATTTTCCTGCTGTTGAAATGGCATCCAAAAGGATGGACATCCTTAAGCCAAGAAGTTAAAAAGTTGATTCCTAAACAACTTTACGCAGCTCTATGTCATCCTTTGGGGCCCAATTGAGCCTTGCAATTATTTTTAATGAATATTTCTGGTCAGACAAAGACAGAACAGTGTGGCACCAATATACGGTATAAAAGCTTGATTTGGAGTGGCTTCTCTCTCATAGGCTAAACAGAACTGACCCATCATATCTTAGCTTACTTGATAAAAGCAATGAGCTGAGTTATAAAAACATAAATAAATAAATGATGAGCAGACTCACCCAAGCATCTGACCTGGTGCATTAAAAGCTGCTGGATTCTCTTGGGTCATGAGGAAGGGTTTAGGTAGGGATGAGCTGCTGGGGATTTGTAGGGGTTCAGGAGAACCTCTAGCTAAGATTCTGTGCAGTTCGGAGAACCCCCAAATCTCACTCCTGGCTGGCCCTTCCCACCCCACCCCTCCCAGGAGTTCCCACGCAGCCCGTTTTGGATGCAGGTAAGTGCAGGTGTGTATGGAGGCTTGGGGAGGGTGAAAAACAGGTCTACCAGACGTTCAGGCTGCTCTTGCCCTCCCGGAGGCTCAAAAAAAGCCTCCGGAGCCCGGGGAGGGCAAAAACGCACCCTCCACTGTGGTGCAAGAGGCCGACTAGGCCACGTCCACCATGGCCACGCCCACCCAGCAACCAGCAGAGAACCCCTTGCTAAAATTTTTGAAGCCCACCTCTGGGTTTAGGGAACATTGGCCAAATCTTGGCAATTTTTCAGAAGGCAATAGCATTAGCGCTTAGACTTATAAATCACTCCACAGTCCTTTACAGCATTTTCTGAATGGTTTTCAATATCAGTATATTGTCCCCAGCAATCTAGGTGCTCATTTTACCGACCTTGGAAGGATGGAAGGCTGAGTCAACCTTGAGTCCCATCAGAATCTGACTCCTGGCTGTGGGCAGAGTTAGCCTGCAATATTGCCTTGTAACTACTGCACCATCAGGGCTCCTTAAGGTGCAAGTTTTCAATCATAAACCTAATGTGATGGAAAACCTAATAGTTTTTATTGGTGAGTGGGGTGGTTCCCACATGAATGAATGAGTGAGTGAATGAATGAGTGAATGAATGAATGAATGAATTTTAATATATCATTGTTGCATTTGAGATTATATTGTCTATCATTCATTCTCCTAAATCTCTGGAATCCTTGATGCTCTCTAAACTTGGTTAGTTTTCTTCATCATCAGTGCTAGCCATGGTGCAATGACACATATGCAAGAAAACCATCAGAGAGCATCAAGGGTCCCCAGGTCAACCTTGAGTAACAAATATCCTGTTTCTCCTCTATATTTCCTCCTCCTTAACAAACTGACACATTCATGAGCAGGACCACAGTGGCAACTTCAACCAACTGGTTCCATTTCTGTTAATGGTGTCCAACTTTATCTTTTCTTCCAGTTTTGCAGCTTAGGCACCACAATGAACATCCTGTGTTGGATGATCCTGGCTTGGGGGATGCTTTACATTCATTTTTCCTTAATTCTTTTTTCCCCTTTTCTCTTTTTTGGACCTGCACTTTCTGATCCTAATCTTGTGCATTGCATTTTGTGTTTTCCAGATCTACAAGTTCACCTGTCTTGGGCCAGAGAAATGCATGGAATCCAACGCTAGTTCAATTCAAATGCAAGGGGATTCTGATTATTTCATCAACCACCTTGGGGTCCCAGCTTTGCAGTTTTCCTACCAGGATTCAACCACGTTAGAGGTAATTGTAAATGACGTCACTAGGTTAAGATTGGTAAATCGGAAAACAAAATCTGCTTTATATTGCAGATTCTTGCACATTAAGAAGGTAGCTGTCAAAAGCTGCTGACTTGTGAGAAAACAAGGGGAAACAAGAGGTTTTTGGCACTGTATTTGGTCTCATCGGTTCCTCTCCAAGTGCATGTCATGTTTCCATTGAAAAGGAAAACGTATGCTTGCTATCTCCTGCATAGCAAGGAAATTGCAGCAGGAGGATTAAGGCTGAAGCGTAATTGTGATTGTCACAATAACACGAGGTGTGCAAAGTGGATCTTTGCTGTTTTTCTTTGAAAGATGGCTAGTTGTCCTTAAAATTAAACGTAAGGGATAATGAATGTACAAATTGCATCCTGCCTGGAAAATAAATGGGGGTGGGGGGGGAAAGTGATGGTAAAAGAGAAAAAGATGGATGCTACTGGCATTGAGAGTTTAGTTTAAATAGAAAGAAAAAAAGTGCAATATAGAAATATTTAAATATCTAAATCCTTTGGGTAGTATATTACAGCATGATAATGATGATAATGATAATAACATGTTAAAACAGCCTACTTCAATCTGCTACTCTCCTGAAGCCAACAATTTTCAAGGGGTCCCCCCCCCCCCCCCCCGTTCTTCTATTTCTAAGGGCAAACAGTTTCACGGTATATGCATTTGCCTAGTCCAAACCTTTAAAAAAAAACCTTTTAATAATAAGCAACTCTGTGCGATAAAAATTAGGACATCCAGCCCAATCCCCTGCTCACGCAGAAGACCTATACTATTTCCCACAAATGGCTGTCCAATCTTTTCTTAAAAGCTTCCAGTTATAAGGTGTCCACAACTTCTGAAGGCAATTTGTTCCACTGGTTGGGAGAAAGAGATTAAAGAGCAATGCTATAACTCTAATATACTGAAGGTATATTTCCACATAGATAGGTTTTCTCATCACATGCCGGGGGAAATCCAGCAGACCAGTTCTGGAGAACCGGTAGTGGAAATTTTGAACAGTTCGGAGAACCAGCAAATACCATCTCTGGCTGGCCCCAGAGTGGAGTGGGAATGGAGATTTTGCAGTATCCTTCCCCTGCCATACCCACCAAGCCACACCCACAGAACCGGTAGTAAAAAAAAATTGGATTTCACCACTGATCACATGTTTCGTCTTTGTGTTTCAGATTAGCTATAACTTCAGGTCACCTGCAAACTAAATCCGCCTAGGAAACATTGCAATAATCCAGTTGAATGATAAGAGGCATGAGTTGCCAAGGTCAAGTGACTTTTTATAAAGAGGAAATCACGTGGATCATAATCTGAATAATCTGTTGGGATTACCAGCAGTCCTTGGTCTCTCTCTTGCTTTTCAGCAAGTAGGAGAGGCGATCAAGTCTGTATTTCATCTATATTTATTTAATAAGGTGTGAAAGCTAATCAAGGATGCCTCAATGTCCCATCTCATTTAGCCACAACTGGAATTGAAATGAATCTAGGGTTAGAGGGTAAATCTAAATTGGGCTGAAATAAAAATAATTCAATTTGCCTTAAAAACAATATGGCTCCTGTTTGATGCAGACTATTTAGAAGTACGTCAGGCACAGATGACAAGCCGGTTGGTCAGTTCCTGTTGCAACCAATGGATCAATGCTTGCTTGGTTGATCAAAAATCAAAACACAAAATTAGATCCTGCATATGCAGGACATACATACATACTTACATACATACATACATACATACATACATACATACATACATCATCTGCACCTCTCTAATTGTCTGGTTTGGTTCTGCAACCCAACAAGACAGACACAGACTTCAGAGGATAATTAGAACTGCAGAAAAAAATTACTACCAACCTGCCTTCCATTTTGACCTGCGAGTCAAAAAGAGGGCTGTGAAAATATTTACAGACCCTTCACATCCTGGACATAAACTGTTTCAACTCCTACCCTCAAAACGACACTATAGAGCACTGCACACCAAGACAACTAGACACAAGAACAGTTTTTCCCCGAACACCCTCACTATGCTAAACAAATAATTCCCTCAACACTGTCAAACTATTCACATTAGGCTGCATTATTATTACTATTAGTCTTCTCATCGTTCCTGTCACCCATCTCCTCCCACTTATGTCTGCATGACTATAACTTTGTCGCTTGTATCCTTATGGTTTAGATTGATATTGATTGTTTCCTAGTATGATTTGATTGCTTATTTGTACCCTATGACCTATCACTAAGTGTTGTACCTTATGATTCTTGATGAATGTATCTTGTCTTGTTATGTACACTGAGAGCATATGTACCAAAGACAAATTCCTTGTGTGTCCAATCACACTTGGCCAATAAAGAATTCTATTCTATTCTATTCTATTCTATTCTATTCTATTCTATTCTATTCCATTCCATTCCATTTGTGTGTGTGTGTGTGTGTGTGTGTGTGTGTGTGTGTGTATTGTATCTATCCTTATGTATATGTATCTATATATCTATATATCTATATTTATCTATATCTATCTATCATCTACCTACCCACCTCTCTATCTCTACCTACCTACCTACCTACCTGAATTTTAGGTAGTGTTGTTTACTAATGAGGTAGTGGTTAAAATGTTGGCCTAGAAATCCTACTGTGAATTATGGGCCTGCCTTAGGCATGAACACTGGCTGAGTGACTTCGGGCCAATCACCAGAAAACTGAGAGTTCTAGTCCCATCTTTGGCATAAAAGCTAGCCGGGTGACTTTTGGCCAATCATGGCCTCTCAAATCAGTTTACCTCAAAGCGTTATTAAAGAGAAAGTAGGAGGTGGGAGGAGTATTAGCATATGTACTGCCTTTAGTTGCTTAAAAATAAATAAAGGAGGGATAAAAATTAAATAAAGTATAGTTCAGTGTGAAATCTGAAAATATTTCCCATCTAATTAAATGAAACATTTATTTATTTGCTTATTTATTTATTTATTTATTCATTTGAACAATTGATTGATTGATTGGTCGATTGATGTCTGTAGATTCCTATCTCAGCAAACCACTCTGAATGGCTCACAATTCAAAAACATATATTTACAATTAAAATCTCAAAAACATTTTAAAGCAGCAAAAACAGTAAAAAAACCTGATTAAAACAAGTTTTTAAAAAACATTAAAACCTCTAACTTTTGCTTTAGTGTCAGTAAAGGTATCCAGTTTAAGGAAATTATGCTCCCAATACGAAAAACAAAATTTATTTTAATATCCAAGACCATATACAGGACTCAAAGCTCCCACACAAATAGCCATCCAGAGATGTTAACCATGAACTGGTCAGAACCTGCTGAAACCCACCTCTGATTGGTACTATATATGACTTCAGCATTATTCAATTTAAAGTACTTCCTTATATGGATAAACATCAACATTGGGAATATATCTTTGATAATGTGTTCTAAGTCCCATTGTTGTCCTTAAGGAAAATGGGGTTTTTCGGGGGGGGAGAGAGAGGGGGGAGGTGCTTTCATTATCTGCCGAAATGAAGCAGGATGTTGGAATCCATTCTGTGTTGGCATCTGCACTACTAATTTGCTAATAATTAAATTTCACAAAGGCAGAAGCAGTCTTTTTGGATTTGCCAAAAATGACAGTGATTCTTTCTTTTATTTCTCCCCTCCCCACATTATTTAATAAGAATTGGTTCTGCTGATTGAAATGTCCCGTCGTTGGTGTATTTTATTTTTTAGCAAGAAGACTTTTCAATTTGTGAAACACTGTTGCACCTATTAGGAAAATCATTCTGCTTTAGATTAAATACGAGGCAAAGGTTGTCATAAAAGAAATGGAAAAGCAGATGTTCCATGATTAAGTGTGCAATGTTTATGACAGGCTTGTGGTCCAAGGCTCATTTCTTCTGTCACTTAACAGCTGCTCTACACAGCTTCTGTTTCAGAATTGGTACTATGTAGGGCATAGGTGAGAATCGGAAGGCTCCAACTGCATCAGAGGAGAAGTTTTTTTCCTGTAGCATCTATCCTGATTGAGAAGCTTGACATGACAGATGCAAGCAGCGCTTTTATGACATAAAATAGTACATTAAAGCATTCTAAACGCAATATATCATTTCTTTGGGGAAATCATTCATTCATCATGAAAAGAAGGACTAGGGGTGACATGATAGCAGTGTTCCAATATCTCAGGGGCTGCCACAAAGAAGAGGGAGTCAAGCTATTCTCCAAAGCACCTGAGAGTAGAACAAGAAGCAACTTAGAACTAAGCAGAAATTTTCTAATAGTGAGAACAATGGAACAGCTTGCCTTCAGAAGTTGTAGGTAGGGTCTCCTGCTTGAGTTTGGGGTTGGACTAGAAGACCTCCAAGGTCCCTTCTAGCTCTGTTCTGAGTGATTGATTGATTGATTGATTGATTGATTGATTGATTGGATACCTGTAGTGGTTCTGTTGAACTTGAAGAAAGTAACAGAGGAGCCATCCAGAACAGAAAACAGCATCCCCCTTCCCTGTCAGGAAATTTCTAAGGAGAAATTTCCTGACAGTGAGAACAATTTATCAGTGGAACAACATGCCTCCAGAAGTTGTGGGTGCTCCAATATTGGAAGTTTTTAAGAAGATATTAGATAACCATTTGTCTGAAGTGGTGTAGGGTTGCCTACCTAAGCAGGGGTTTGGACTAGAGGACCTCCAAGTCCCTTCCAACTCTGTTATTCTGTTATCATCCACCCACCCATCCTTCCATCTATCCATCCATCCATCCATCCATTTGTTCATTCATTTATTCAGAGCCATCCAGTTGGTTAGAAGATGGACAGCTTTGTAAATGATTTTTTTAAAATATATAATCTATTTATCATCTGTCTGTCTGTCTGTCTATTGTCTATATATCATCTCTCTCTATCTCTATTTGTCTGTCTGTCTATCTATAACTATTATCACCTCCAGAGTGCTGGAGCCATTCACACATGGCAGCAAAAATGTCCTCACAGAAGGGCTTCATACCA